ACTGTCTGATAAGTTTGTAACATGGTACTTATAGAAATAGTGTTTTCCAACAGGATGTGAAACACAGAGCATTGTGTGAGGTATGATATGTATCCAAAAAATAATCGTAAATGAGCCTAACATCACAAAAGGAGGGAGGGTGGAGTTACTGACCAGCAAGCATTGATGGTGTGGACGATGATTTCAATCCACCCGTGTTTGTGGGGCAGAACATTTTGTTTGTATCAGGCTCTTTATGGATGAAAACAAGTCAATAGATCTGTGATATTGAGATTGTTTACCTACACTCACCATTCAGACTCATGTTTCTAATTTTTGTGCTGTATTAACTATTCTACTAAGACAACCTTTAACATGCTAACTCGGACTTTTACATGAACACTGTGTGGCAGGCATCGGATGAGAAAAGAAAAAAAACTGACTGTAAAGGATATGGTTGCTATTTTATTTAACACTACTCTCTATATGCATTCTTCCTCATTCCAACCTTGACTTCCCTCCTTCATTGGAACCTACTCCACCTTGATAAATATCACAACTCATTGTTCTTTATTACTGCCTTCTCTCTTCTGGAGCCCCTAATCGCAGTTTACTCTTGCAAAATGAGCTAGCATCAATTTAATCTAATAATTTATCATACCTCTATCTGTTCCACTAATAAATGTTGAGCATTGATTATCGCTCATATCCAAATGCCTTGCTGCTCGGTTTCTTTTTCTTCTCTTCAGAATCTTGCTCTGAGGGTGAAGCTATGTGACTTCTGACATCTGGAACAAGCTTGACGAACGCGCTTTCCCAAGGTCATAGCTCGAACCAGGCGCTCCACAAGCCTACTTTATAACAACTATAAACTTAAAAAGCTGCATTACATAAATGCTTAGCACGACCGAAACCCTATTACACTTTTTGTCGAGATTGGATCTGGTATATAAAGTGGACGCTATGCCCCTTTGGAAACTATTCTTATGAAAACACATTATATGTGAACGAATGAACTGCTATCAACTTTTATAGATTATAATTACTAAACAAGCTTGCTTGGGATGCATACTGTGAACCAGTATATGTTGTAAATTGTAGATCATGCCTGTAAAAATGGCGTGTACCTGCTAATGCAGAAATATATTATTATTATTATTCTTTCTTTATGCGTGTCAAATCCTCTCTGAAGTATTTTGGCTTCTTCAATTTCTACCTTTCGTCCTATGTCTTATGTAGTCCTATCACCGACTTGTCCCAAAGCTCCTTTTTATCAGTCAAAGGTTTGGAAACATGTTACAAACATTTTGTGTCACTTCAATCCAAGATCCAGCAGTCCAGTGGTTACTCCAACGTGAACAGCATTACAATGGTGACATTTAAACTCATAGAAAACATTCAGGCGTTTTTCCTTTGAGACTGCATTCTTGATTTTCACTAACGCGAAACTTATGGTATCACTGGTACGAAAGTGCTCACATATTATTTCAGCTTTATGATTTGCAATATTGTCCGGTAATCCAGATATGTATTGATGCGATAACATTCACTAGTTATTGAGCTTAAGCGAACCCAAAGTCATCAGTGGCACTGAGCACCCGAAACAGCGCCAAATGCTTCCTACTAACTGGTGCCCAGTGAATGAATAATAGTAGGAGAAGATGCTGGATATGGGAATGCATCACGATATCAGACTGAGTCGGTTATTGTGAACACATCAAAAGTATGAATAGCAACTGCGAAAAACTGGAAAGGATTTTCCAGGACAGAGTTCGATGGAGAATGTTGGTGGGTAGTCTATGTTTCTCCACTAAGGCTAACTAGTGTGAGTAAGCAATATAAAATCTGACACACTTTCTGAATGTCGACCCTTATTATTTTTGAAAATGGATATTATCACTGTCTGTAACTAAGTGAAACCGTATACATGTCCCTGCTGATCCTGCAAGTTTGCGAGGTTTTGTTTATTTAATGTAACGCAAACTATATTAAGACATCGTGATATTCTTTCCGTTCGGTTTGTTTTCACTGATATATCAGCTGATTTGAGAGCCTAACATTTCAACTCAATATGGGTTTGATTCGTTTTGCTTATGGTAGAAATTTATCCCCATAATACGTCCTGTAATACAACGATATATTCAGTAGATTAGTATTTGAGTTATGTACGACACTGAGCACATTTAGAACAGAAGGTAATCATGTTTCCCTATATGCGGATTGCTAAATTTAAATTTTTCACCTTAGCTTCTTCAATAAATAAGTACTAAATATCAACGCTGTTCGGTGATGTACCTCACGCTCACTCTTTTGGCTATTTAAAAACATGACCTCACGCGCAACAATCAAGGAAAACTTTCGAACTTCTCTAATCGAAATAGTACATCATTTTCAAATTTCCCTCCACAAAGTACATCAACTGTTTATCCTGTTCAAGTCATTTTGAAAAACTGAGATATCTGAAACGCTCTCAATCTCCCTTCAAAGCTTGCGACCCTCTCCATGTGGCAGAATTTGAGAGTCCAGGTAACACAATCTTCTTTCATAGGCAATAATTATAAGAGTAGATTAAGGGTGAAATTTTTTGTTACCTTAACTGTTATTTCAGATCAATCAGATAAGCCAGAAGAAACTCTAAGGCCCACAACTTTACTAAGTAGTACCTAGGCATTTTCAAGCGTAATGAGTGGTAAATGCAAAATACAGTTTCAGAGAAGTATCTTGAATAAGCCCACACGGCCATATGTACTAGGTGATTGTGCTCTTGTAAGACAATTCATCAATGAAAGACAGTCAACTGATTAGTTTTACAGGATCTGTTTGCAAGAAAACTATGTTGGAATTCAGACCCAATCTAGCCTTTGAAAATATGGTTTCAGTAAGTGTTAGTGGGATATAGATTGGATTAAGCATGTTTTATGCATGATGGTGTTGCTGCGCATTGATTTAAACCGATCAGCCCGGGCATATTATTGCAGAAAAATTTATAAGCTTCTTATGTATATACTATGAACATTATTTAAACTATTGATTGCTGATTGCTGTTCTCTTATTATTATTATTTTGAATACAATTTCTTTTCCTGTTCAACGTGTTCTGATTTTGGGATCTTGTCGAGTGTCACCGTATAAGAATACTAAGCAATAGGAATAGCTGGGTCGTTTATATAGCAAAAATACAATTATAACTGTAAGGTTGATCAAAAGCCCTTCACAAAACGTTCGTGACGGCAAAGAACACAAGAACACGCTTATCAATGAATATAACTACACCGCTTTCTCGGCAAAAATTGAAGTCATGTCACCTGTAAAGGAATCCTTGAAGATAGTAGCAAGAGAGGTGGCAAATTAATCCATACACTATCTTAAGAGTATTTTTCGGACTCCAACTAATCTAACAGACTTGTACTTGCTCATGGTCTTGAAGATCTCAATTCATAGTAGACAGAAAATTGTTGAGTTGTTCACCATCAGGTGTAGACATGATTGTTCGAAAATATTTGGGTCAGCATTTTGTGGCATATACCTCGAAAACTTTATAATGGGAGCTTAGTATTCCAGGCTCAGCACATTGAGTTTCCCACGGGACGTTTGCCACATAAAACCGTTTAAAATTTTACTACTGCTTTTTACAAACTTCATCAGACGAGCCTGTTAATCTATCGTATTGAACTTGGATTTGAGGCTACATTTGCTGCTTGATGTCTTATGATATTACTAACTTCAAGTGTCATTCATGAGACGCTGTTTTCTCCGGAATGTGCGCTACTCCTAATGGTCTTGTGTATAACAGAGCTAATAAACAAGAGAAGTTGAGCGGGGATGTTTTAACATTATTCAACATCCATGTAATAGCAAATACTCTACCATAATATTTTTTAAACCTAGCTCGTACATCACCATGGTCAGTTTCGTGGTAGTTTTAAGCAAACGTTTTGTGGTTGGCAACTGAATCATGGGAATAATGAGCGATAATAGTGAGCGTTAACTAACTTCAGGATGGTCTGGAAATATTTTGTCGGAAAGTTGAATCGCTTCACTGGTAAAAATGTGGTACAGTCTAAAAGTTTGTCCTTTAGGTTAAAGAAGGTGAACTGAACCAAATTTTCAGTGAACACGCAAGTATTCTGTTGAATCAACAACATAAGTGTTATGCTTGGAGCTCTCTTCTTGCTATGTGTGGTTAACAATGTTCAAGTCATTCAACAATGATATTTAATGAAAATTCATCCTCGCGGCACCTCTGATAACTCGAAGAAATGGACTACGTTTTGCCATGGGAGGGTATTAGGTTAATGTAATGGCCAAAGTAGGTGCCTTCTACGATTAACAGACACTACACAAAATATGTCGACACGTCTCAAACTGAGGGCCGGGACTTCGTCAGTTATGACGAATGGTGATTTTTAAAATATGCCTATGTTTCGCAAAATGTCATATCTATCGATTGAAATGGCTGAAGGTAGTCGAAAACAGCCAAGTACTCGTAGACCATCTACCTGAATGGTGAGTCTACTGGAGTTGAATAAGAATAATGTAGCCCCCTAGCCTACGTTGAAGACAGACCTCGTGGATAATGTCTAGACCGACTTACTCTGCGTGGTGTCAACATAATACATCTACTTTATCGAGTGCATAGAATAAATAGAATCTACAAAAATAACAGCACGTATTACTACTGAGAGATTAGGACATTTCAGCGTAATGAACTGCCAAACGGACCGTCTATGATGTGTGACTGATGAATCCTTGTTGATTATTGTTGATTTCGACGGGTTTGATAATTCTGTAGAGTCCAGACGTGTCCTGTCCAACATAGAAACGGTCCTATTCGATAGACGGTTTGGATAGAAGTCAGTGATATTTCGCAGCCCGACGTGAAGTCTTCATTTTTTATAAGTCATTACTGAAATATGTACCATTCAATATCTTAAAACATCTCCAACACGTTGGTTTTGGACGATAATTACCACTGTCGTATTTATTTTCACACAACAAGCATTGAGAATAGATTTATTATTACAAGGTTGACCACCTGTCGAAGATTTGCTCAATGCGCTACGCAAAAGTAAATAACCTAGCCAGTTTTTATACTCTGTGGTGTGGCCTTGCGAACGCTGTGAATGTTGATACCTAATCAAAGCCCAATCAGAAGATTTATTATGATTCAATAAAACAGATGAGATATTCAACGACACGGCTATAATTTATGAATGAACCAACCTTTAAAGGTTATTGTTATTCAGTTTTGGTAAATTTATTGAGCACTATTCGATGTCAGTCAGTAATAATTAACTCGTACACATTCGAAGTTAAGATCATATCACATGATATGAAGCTTTTTATTCTCGTCTCGTATGTGCTTGAGTACTCCTGTCTTTATCTAGCGGATCTCTATGTTATAATCCAAGGATATATTGTCAGTCGCTATCACACAAAGCATTTAACAATGACTGTTACTAGTTTAAAGAGAGTTCTCCAAATAAAAAAGACTACCCAAGCAGATGAAAAATGAGGAAACGGAAGAACAAAGGCAGTGTAGTAATTTGAAGGAGAAAGTCATGGTAGCGTTTGGCCCCAGTAGCACGTGACCTTCAAACGCCTGCTACACAATTGAAGGACTTCTGTCTATTTGTTCAGGATAGTATAGGTAACATCCTTCACCGTCCCCATTTTTTCTAGATCCACTCACTTCTATACAACAAGGCCTAGGATGGAATATTCGATATATATATATATTCGTTATTTGACTTACAAGTTGATAAAACCATATTTTGAACAGCTAATGTGGTTTCGAGTTGATAAACCGAAAGGTTTTTCATTGTGGATATTCAGCAAGTAGCTACAAAATTTCCTGTAGCCTTCATGGTTCAAATCTTGTTTTAATTAGCAAAGGCTTCAAAGCCTACACCGCGTATTGTATACACGTGACGTATGTTACATTTAGGAAGACCGATTTTCTTCAAAATCTAACACATCCTTATTGTGATGTAGCTTTTACGATTCTAACAAGTGGCTATACCTTTTATTCGACATTGTTGGTTAAAGCTATATCAACAGACCGCCGTCATCTTTAGGAGTCATACTAGTGTTTCGATCTTATTTAGGATAGTAGCTCATTCATCTCTCTACACTTTTGTCTCAAACAAATGGTCAACATCCACCTAAAATAAAGACCCATTACTCTCAAAAACTTGTGGTTTAAATCTGTTTCTATATCTTTCGTGGATCTGGAAATATGTCCGTAATCTCAGAAACTTTCTTGTTCTAAAATGTATATAGTTTTACAGGCAGTAGCGTGGATGAATTGCTTTTTGTGTTTCGATAACTTTGTATACACTGATTTAACGTGATCAGGGGTGTTTTCTTAGACGTAGAGAAAACTGGGTAGGATCGCAGCAGAAAATTTGACCGCAGCTACTTTCTATTAATTTAAGATGGTAACTAATAATGCTTGATAAATATCTAACAGAGTTCAGTTTATTGCTTTCCTCAAAGCATCATTAAGTTTTGTGCGGTATTTCGCCCAGATGTTTTACTTATTACATTGATGCAGTCCCAAAATACTTCAACAAGGTGACTTCCAGTTATTTAGCGTGGAATTTCGTATACTTTTACCGGGCTTTTTTTCAAATTTAGTATATATCAAAGGAAACATCGAAACTACAAGTTTATTCTACCTAAAAAACACGAACTAAGTTTCGGTCGTCATCTAAAAAACCCAATTAGTTATCAATTCTTATCTAAAAAGACTAATATTTGAACGAAGAATATTCTTTTCGATAAATTCTCTCCAGGTTCTACAATTATATATCCAAATTAATAATCCGAAGGAATGATTGATCATGAAATCTGACAAAGGTTCATGAGTGGTTCTCAATAAAAACGATTATATTGATAAAATGGGGACCATCTTAAATGACAAATCAAAATTTCAAAAAATAACTAACCATAATGATCTCAATATGAAAATAGAGAAGGAGCTTACTAGTTCTTTGAAAAAGCTCAGAGACAAGCAGACTATTTCGTCTGGTTTATATGAAATGATTAAACCAGTTGGAATCTATCTGCCAAGACTGTATGGATTGCCAAAGATACACAAACCGGGGATCCCATTAAGACCTATTTTAGATATGTATAACTCTCCTTATCATACTATAGCTAAATGGTTAGTAACTTTATTGAAACCTCTCCACGAAAAGCTGGTAAAACATAGTGTTAAGGATGTATTTCAATTTGTTGATAAAGTAAAAAATGTCAATACTTTGGGACTAAAGATGATGTCTTTGGATGTAACATCACTATTCACGAATGTTCCACTTCTAGAGACCGCAGAATATATAGGGGAACAACTGATTGAAAATAAAATTGAAACTACAGTTCCGACTAATGTTTTAAAAGAGTTATTACTGAAATTCACCATGAATGTAAATTTCAAATTCAACGGTAAAATATTTAGACAAACAGATGGTGTGGCAATGGGTTCACCTCTGGGTCCTATGCTAGCTGATATATTTCTAGCTAAACTAGAGAACGGTCATCTGAAAAAGATTATTCAAGAATTCAAATTTTACTGCAGATATATGGATGACACATTCATCCTGTGTAAAGATAATATTTCACAACAAGATGTGCTTAGGCAGTTTAACGAAGTGCATCCAGCCATTCAGTTTACATCGGAGGAAGAGAGTGATGGCCGAATAGCCTTTTTGGACGTTCTCTTAACTAAGAGATCAGATGGATCGTTAAGAAGAAACATGAACATAAAAAGTACTTGGACTGGACAGTATACACACTTCCTTAGCTTTGTACCTCTACAGTACAAACGAAACCTGATCAAAACCCTTAGCTATCGAATACGCACTATATGTTCGGCGGATGTAGTTGACAATGAGCTAAACACATTGCATAGTGCTCTGAGGGAGAACGTGTATCCCAGAAAGTTTATAATTAAATATATGATCTTTAAAGTGAAAATAGGCGAATTCCAAACGGTTCAGAAAAAGTCCTTGTTCATGCGCCTACAATTCAGGGGGGATGCTGCTAGCAAAATACTTGCTCAGAGATGACGCAGATCTATCCAAAAATCTTTCAACGCAGGTGAACTACGTTTAGTGTTTTCTACGCGTCCAATGGTGACACCGAGGCTTAAAGATGAAGTTCCTAGAATGACCACTTCGTTTTGTATTTATCAGTTCGACTGCTCCTGTGGAGCAAGTTATATTGGTCGAAGTTCTAGGAATTTACATTTTCGTGCTCGTGAACACCACCCAGCGTGGCTAAGCAGAGGTCTGATGAGGAAAGTAAACAGCTCGATTTTGGCCCATTTAGTACAAACTGGTCACAGTGCCAGTATAAACCAATCTTTTTCAATTATTTATAGGGTCAGTAACTTTTTGCCTAAGCTTGTGTATAAAAGAAATATCTCCAATCCCTACTCCTCCCTTGGCCAACCACAAGGCCAATTAATGAACAATCATCTTAGCTATTGTATGACCTAATTTGACTATGTACTTACGACCTTTCGCAGTCAAATGTAATTGTCTCTCTTATCTTTATTCACGAATCTTTGTATTTTATTATTATTATTATTGGTTAAATATCATTATTAATTCCCCTATACATGATTTATTCACATCGCATTGATCTCTCCTTATTATGTCTCACTAATTTTTCACACAATTTAGTCTTCCACTTGATCGAATTGTAATTGCACTATCATATCTCTCTCACCCTATCTGATCCATATTTATATTCTGATCACATCTTAAATTTTCACTTTACATATATACAGATTCAAGTTAACATTCTATATGAGTCATATCAACATTAACAATTTTATTCTATTTGATTTGACATTCCTAAATTTACATGCATTAAACGATGTACTTTGCCCTTAACTTGGCCATTTTTTCGGATTATTAATTTGGATATATAATTGTAGAACCTAAAGAGAATTTATCGAAAAGAATATTCTTCGTTCAAATATTGGTCTTATTTAAAACTTCACTTATTACTGTGGTCCCAATACTTATGTTTTCCATCAGTGCATACAAGTTTTGTTTCTCATACTGATTTCCGCAGTATTACCTTATTTTTGTATTTAGTGTGTGTCTTTGTTAATATACTGATATATCGAACCATATTTCCCTCATCAGTTCATCAAAGCACTTGTTTGTAGATGAGAAAGGTAAATATTTAACTCCTGGTTAGCTTATAATCATGGACGTGTGTAGATTAATTTGGACTGATTAAGTGATAAGTTGATTAAAAAGAGGCAATAAGTTGTTAACAAGAGATAATTATTCAAACCACATTCATTGTAATCTAGTCCCTTGATATTTATTTATCTGTAAAATTATCATTTTAATTACTTTTAATGAACATAGTTAAGCTATGATATTGTTTAAACATTCGTTACATTAGTCATTTTCATCCTTCATAGCTTAGCAACGAGGAGATAAAATTAGCTTTACATACACAGATCGCTGTGATGTCTAGTCAAGCCAAAAAGGATCATGAAGTTGTTTGTCATCATAAGTTTGGTGCACGCCATATCTACAGTGTTTATGCAGAAACTTTTTGACTTTTATTAATAACGTAGACAAAACACGGCGAATCGTACTGTATGAAAGTAAGCTATAGAGATACAACTATTTTCACTACCCAACTTAAATGTTTCAGTTCTCTTCTTTAAATTAATAATAGTTAATCGTTGATCAAATATTTTGTTCTCAGTAAGTTTAAGTGAAAAAACCACCATCGTTATCACGATGGAAACCATTTACCAACTGCTTATGATGTAGATTCAAATCTCACCGGTAATATCAGTCCCTTCACAATTGCAGGTAAGCGCTGCTGACGAGTACCAACTAGCACAAAACCCCAAGTTTAAGGTTTCTTGCCAACTAATTCCAATAACAACAACAACAAAACAGTGCGTGCGTTGTCTATACTAGTGGCAACGTTAAAACTTGAGCTATGGGATTTGACCACCACCAAAGATTGGATGACCCAGCTATTCCTATTGCTTGACATTCTTGGACACCAATACACTCGACAAGTCCCCAAATCAGGGAAAAATTATATTCTGAATAACAGGGATCGATGAAAGTAAGAAGCGCAATAAGAAGTATATTTATAGCTTTTACATGTGAAAATTCTAGAGTCTTTTCCAAGCATCGACTAGCGTTGATCATTGCCCTACATCTAATTGGGCCGACGTACAACAGATAAACCTTTTGGTTAGTACCAACCAGCACAAACTTCGATAAAAAATTTCCTGTCACTAGCCTGCGGCTATTTAACATTAAATATTTTTGATAATATTATATTGACCATTTTGTTATTATTGTTTACTGATTGTTTTTTTTTGTATTTCCTAAATTTAGGCAAGGAGCAGTGCGAAATAGTTAGTTCGTCGAACTTATCCACAGGTCTATCGGGATTATGATATATTTGTTACTTAATATGCAGAATTATTATTTATTAATCAGACAAAATAGAAAGTTTTTGATCGTGTGTACATGTTTACTGACTATCATATTTCTTTACATAATTATTTCATTGTGGAATCCATATCCATCTGTAACAAGTCATGGACTTACATCTGTAGATTATTTAACGAGAAAAGTAATTCCCCATCAAGAAAACAATGGAAATTTACTTCTAAATTCAGCATTTACTTTACCATTTCTTATTGATGAATTAATGCGTATCAATCACTCTGTTCATGATGAATTAATTGATTTACATCAAAGACGTAAAGAATTGGTGGACACTAATACTGTCCTTCAAAATCAAGTGGAACGTTTACGATCTATTCTTGTAGAACATTCAAGGCAAATAATACGTCTCCGAGTATGTTACTATCAAATAACTGAATATTTTCTCATTATTGAGGAGTAAACTAATATGGATGAATAAGTATATCACTAATGTTGATTTTTGTGTTTAACTGAGTGATCACGGGGTTTATGTATAAATGAACAATGTGTAAAGTAGGTGTTACTTATTGTTGTGGTATTTACAAATATTTGGTTATAACTATCTCCGTTTAACTAGACAAGGTCAACGTTCTAAACACAATATTGTCCCGCTGTTTCTATCTTTAATAAAATGTATTGATTACCGATTCCTTCGTAGATATCTTTTAAGAGAGATAACAGCACCTTTATTTTCAAGTTGTAAAAGCGACATTTTTCCGAAGTTCTGTGCTAGGTATATTGGGAATATTAAAAAAATTACATAACATTGATTTTGATTAATATCTGTCTTATAGTTAGACTGGAAATAAGCATTTCCTCAGTGTCTGGATAACGCATATAAAAATCTAGCATCCAATATCAGTACAATCCATATCAAGCCATAACCGAGTGAAGCATAGAGCTAAAAATTTCGACTCAAATAGTATCTAACCACTTCAGATTCAACGCACAGAACATACGGAGTTTCATCTAAGAAAACTGGTATCTTGAAGTGAAATGGGGTTCGGACCATAGACTAAATAGATGGTCAGGTTTTGTAACTGTTAAGTTACTGTTGCATATTCCCGTATGTGATTCATAGCTACTTCTACTGATCCAAATTCTATCTTCTTGTAAATCAAAGGAAAATAGTTGTTTGAAGTGATAGAAGTAAATAAATTAGCATTAGCCATATTGCTTTTTGTGGTTTATCGGTTACAAATAATTACAACTTACGTAGTAAATGCATCTATGTAGGTTATTCTGTGCACTGCACTTGGCTAACCGGGTCGTATTAACCGACGATCAAGGCTACAATGGATGGATTAAACTTATAATTAGTAATATCACTAACTTTTATACCCAAAGTTTGTCCGATTATATAAACATTTACTTGGTAAGTGAGTTATATTCTGAAATCCTCTAGGATGATTTGTTACTCCTAATTAAACTTTTATATTTTAGGCCACTTTAGATTCATACAAACAAACTATTTCAGATAATACTGCATCGTCAGTTGTATTTTATTCCAAATGGCCAGTTGTTTATCTTAAATTAAATGATGAGAGTATAAATTATCCTTCTGTCACAAGCTCATCAAACGAATTATGCACCATAGAATCCTGTATCAATTGGAATCGGTGTCGATTTATAAGGTTTTTAAAGTTTTGCACTGATTATTATGGTTCAAATAATACTATATCATTTGACAAATTACTACAAAGTTCTCCACATTTTACTGAAAGGTGTAATATTGAAAATAATTCATGTTTAAAACTGACTTTCGGTGTTGAAGGTGCTCAAAAATGTATAGAGGAATCTGAACTGACATCAACAAACTTGCCAACCTGTATAGTCTTGTTTTTCAATGCATTGGAACTTGATCAGATATATCGGAAATACAATTATTCAACAAATCATCTTAACTTCCTACTGGTCGCCTATTCATTTCCTGAAAACACATTTCGCCGAGGATTCGATTTCTTATTGCCAATAAATTACGATATTTTATGTAAATACTCGAAAAAAATTTGCTCTATTTCTTCACCTTTGAGTTTACTACCAGGAAGACGTTCCTTATTACTCAGCTTCAATGTTGGGATACTGTCCAAAAGTCGTCTTGCTCAAAATCACTCATCATTGGATAATTTAGTTATTGAACACTTGAAAATGTTGGATAACGATAGTCATAAAAAGAATGAGTCAACCTCTTTTATTTCCATATCAATTAATAAAAATTCCAATGAACTGGAAAGTTGTTGGTCTAATAAATATAAAGAATTCTTATCACGAAATTCCCTATCTGACACTGATTGGTTTCCATGTGAAGATTCTTCATCAGTAAGTTACACTGTACAAGTCCATGTTTAGAGTTACTTTTACCTTATCCAATTAAAAATTGCTTTTGTAAGTTTTACATTGGCAGTATTTGTCTGTAGATGTTTTTAAAACTTAGTCGTTTTGTATGCTATTAGAACATATATCACTTGTGTATCGTTAAAAACATCAGCGAACAATAATTAAAGTCAAATGTTCCAACATACTAGTCAGCCATGTAAGAAAAGAGATTGTTAACGAAAACGAATTAATGATGGTTTAAGTCTCTGTTCAAATATTCTGCTAATAATTTCTGGAAACATTACGGCTGACGTATAATAACCCTTCAAATTTCAAACCGTCGATAAAAAAACTAAAAGGATCACTGATTTAGACTCACGAGCTGTGTTTTGGAAAGCTACCATACAGTTAAATAGCTATAAGATGTTTTATTTTAGTATATTGTAGGGTTTTAACACTCGTTACCAACAAATAAATCCCGTACTCGAATGCACTTTAGCAACCTCTTCATGGGTAACTGATGAACACTGTTAGTCACTACCACAGATATCATTATTCGAATGTGCTATTTTCCATTTAAGTTGTTGGATAGTTTCCTTATGTTTGCCAATTTTTTCTGTTTTAAAAGAACGAAATCGGGAATTCTCAGTTCGCGCTTTCGTTATTGCTGAAAGAAAATTAACATAAAAACCAAGGAAATAGAATATGACAGCAGACTAAATATAAGAAATATAGTTTTTAATGAATAAATGAAATTCAGGGATAAAATGTGTGTAATTATATTAAAACTCAAGGTCTAGGATAACATTTAGACTGAATACATCCGCGTCTTTTTTGCCGGTATTCCTATATAGCTCATTTCACTACATTCAATGACTTTGTAAATTAATAATTTGTACTATTTTGCTCGGTCCCTGATCATTATAGAGTCTATTCCTTTTATGGTATATATCATAAGCATATTGGACATCCATTTCAGGTTAATCTCATTGAGTTAAAATTGTTTATTGTTATAGCAAGAATTTTCTTTGGGATCATAGCGAATAACTGTAACATAGTCTTATCCTCGTTTTCACAATGCAAGTTATTTTATTACTGATAAAAAAGACGTTGAATATAACATTTATTTGTTATCTATAATTGTATTTCTTGTTGTCTATATTCTTAAATGTTGATTCGATTCAGATAATATCTTGAAGTTTACATTTAATTATCTGTTTAAAGTACATTCTTATTTCTTTTACTTAATGGACAGCGTATTATCAAAGTGATTAAGTTAGTCATCCATTCATTTTAATTTCTAGAATTAGTATTCTTAATGGTAAGTAAAGAGAGGAAGACTAACATTTCAATCATGTTTCTTTTAAATACATGCACGTCATTGTTTTCCCTTGTACCTTTTTTATTATTTTCAATTGCTAAGCTTTGGTTAACTGCTAAACGAAAAAAGAGCGCTTTTACAAATAACTGTAACGTTTAATTTTTAAAAAAAGTATGGTGTGACTGTCTTTTTGTTTTAGTCATAAAATCTGAATTTGGCAATTGAATAAACCTCTGTGTGTGTTTGTGCACTCGTGTTACAAAGTGATAAAGTTATTATTATTATATATATATATATATATATATATATATATATATATATATATATATATATGCGATTATATTCAAGGTCCTGTAAGTTACACACTAACAACACTATCTTATAAATATGCACAGGGATTTTGTGTGTTTATAACAGATGTTCATGTATTGAGTTTTCGTATTTGTGTTCTTCTTAAATTATCATTTCCATGTTTTATCTATGTAATTAAATATCCATATACAGTTTTATATACCCTACTTAGATTAGCACACATTGTTTTACTATCCAACGAGATGGAGTTTACAATTTTTATCCATTATTTGGTATTCCAGCATTTTAGTCAGTAAATCACCGTGTCAATAATATTGGACAGTTGGTTCTTTCCGAATGATTTTAGTAGAAGTTGTATATATTCAGTATGTTCAACAAAACAAACCATTAATTCGTAAAATAAAGTTAAAAATACTTTATTAGTATATTATTGATAAGGTTTTTTTTGGAAAAGTAAACAATTCTACTGTCATAATACATCACTGCTAAAAACCATCCTGTTCATGACGTAATCATAATTTATCAAGTTTTTCACTTTAATGAGTCTCGCTGAACATTTTTAGAATCACCGGGCGTAATGTTATTCTTTTTTGTTTTTTATTTTATTTCTAAACCTAATTCCCTTCGCTTATAAGGCAAAAGTTCTGTATTGAATTTTTAATAATTTGAAATTTTTATGTGTATACTTACACTGATGAGCAGTCATATGGTTATCCAACTTTTTAATGTAACCCGGTGATGACGTATTAAATTAACTGTTTTGATTGAAAATACTTTTCTTGGATGATGGAGCAGTGTCCCCCTGTTTAAACCAAGGAACTACAGCTTATGTGTGATTCTATTAGCTCGTTGGTTAAAATACTCGTTTTGCATGCGATGAGCCCTAGGTTCGAGTTCCACCCGAGATATTATATATAACCCTCGAACGGTGTATTAAGTTCACAGACTATGTTTTCTCTTGTTTTTTTATAGCACTTTAATTAAAGTTGTATTTAACTAATCTTCAGCTTCTTCGCAAGTCAACCTTTGGATTAATAATGACTGGTGCAAAGAATTCGTATTTGAGTTTAGGATTACGAATTCAGTTGATTAACTGTTTAGCTAATGGTGCTATTCCTGTGTTTATTGGAAATAACGATATATATTCTGATGAAGCAATCAACTCGGAGTTATTGTCTAAAGTTATTATACGCGTTCCTAGACCTCGAGTCGAGGAACTTCCAGCTTTACTTCAATCTTTACCTGAAGCGCATATCGTTGAGATTCGCCGACAGGTTAGTTTTACCATTGAAAATTTATTTGAATTAGAGAGTATTATAAGTCTTTTCATCTTTCTTTCTATCTATTTCCCCTCCGCCACTTCATATCGTATTGTTTACGTAACCCACATCAGTTACTAATAGGGATAGTATCTTACAAGTACATATTAGAATCAAGCATATTTCTACTGTGTATACAATGTTACAGATACTGATGATTCAACATTATTGTCTTTGAATTTCGAGTTCTTAAAAAAACCATTTGATATACTTAGTCTTCTTTTTTAGTAACATTGTTGATTTATTATGGTTATTTCCTTCAACACCATGGGAGATTATTTACTTCCATCAAATGCTGCTTTCCCACAGTGCAATTTTTTCTTTATTTGGCCTGTGATATTCTTTTTAAAACCAACTCAGTTGTTGTCGCCAATCCATCTTTGTGTTTTGTGGTGATACCAATGCAATTGTAGAACTAACGTAGATGAAGATTTGAGTCAATTACCCGATTATTAAAAGTCGGTGTGTTTTAGTTTCCAAGTAACATGCCTAATAAATGGTATCCTTATAGCACATAAATAGTATTTTTTGTCATAACTATCTCGACTAACAAACATAAAAATGGATTTGGTAAGTGCTTTATCTGTCCATTGTCGGTTGTTGACTTGTAGTGTATCAGTAATCTGCTTCATTGATCTCATGCTTGTCGAACATTCTGGATTTACCTGAAAATTTAATACTAAACTCGTTAAAAAGAAAACGTTAGATGTCTTTATGTATAACAACGGTCAAGTGCTAAGCTAATTTACGATCTCAATAAATCCCAAATCATCCGATTGGTGATGTTTAACTTTTCAATATAGATTATAATTGAGAAGTCTATTTTACCGCATACACAAAGCCACATGGATTTCACCGGATCACATTACACAGAACCAAGTCAACCATATCCGCATCAATAAAAAGTTCGGAAGGACGATGGAGGACGTGAAAACCAAGAGAGGTGCTGATATAGCATCAGATCATCACTTGCTGGTCGCCACGGTAAAACTGAAACTCAAGAAGCACTAGATACCGGGGCGGACAACACAAAAGTTTAATACGGCCTTTCTTCGGGATACTGACAGATTCAACGAATTCAAGATAACCCTCAGCCATAGGTTCTAAGTTTCGTGGCTCTTCACGATTTACTCAATGAAGTGGGAACTATCATGGAGAACAACTGGAAAGAGATCAAGGAGGCAAGCACTTCAACATGTCATGAGGTTCTGGGTCACAAGAAGCACCATCACAAGGAATGGGTCACTGTTGATACGCTGGATAAGATTGAAGAAAGGAGGAACGAGAAGGCAGCAATCAATATCAGCCGAACAAGAGCAGGGAATGGCAAGGCAAAAGCTGAATACAGAGAAGTAAACAAGCAAGTGAAGAGGACCACCAGAACTGACTAACGTAAATATGTGGAAGATTTGGCAATGATAGGGGAAAAGGCTGCAAGACAAGGAAACATGAGACAGTTGTATGATGCAACAAAGAAGGTCGCTGGAAATCACCATAAACCAGAACGACCAGTGAAAATCAGGGAAGGCAAGGTAATCACCAACATTGAAGAGCAGCGAAGCAGGTGGGTAGAGCACTTTAATGAACTCTTGAATCGACCAGCCCCAGTGAACCCATCCAACACCAAAGCAGCACCCACGGACTGCCCAATCGATGTTGGCCCACCAGCAATTGGAGAGAGCATGACTATCAAACAAACCAAGAGTGGCAAAGCAGTGGGACCAGACAGCATTCCAGCAGAGGCATTGAAAGCAAGTGTAGCAGTAACTGCAAAGATACTCCAAATTCTCTTCAGTAAGATTTGAAATGAAGAACAAGTACCAAGAGACTGAAAAGAAGGACACCTGACTAAAATATCAAAAAAGGCAATCTCAGCGAGTATGATAACTACAGGGACGTCACTCTTCTCTCAATACCAGGAAAATTCTTCAACAGGGTATTGTTAAACAGAATAAAGGACTCCGTAGACGCCGAGATCAACAGACTGGATTCCGTAAGGATCGATCGTGTACAGACCAAATCGCAACACTACGTTTCATTGTGGAACAATCAATCGAATGGAATTCATTACTCTACATCAACTTCATCGACTACGAGAAGGCATTTGATAGCGTGGACAGGACGACACTATGGAAGCTTCTTCGAAACTACGGCGTGCCTGAGAAGATAGTCAATATCATACGGAACTCCTATTGTGGTGTGGTCTACTTATATCCATATAAGTAGTATATGGTGTGGGTCAGACATAGAATGTATTTTCGCAGAAGACCGATGAGCAAAGAACTGAAATGAAGCGCAATCGTTTGGAAAATGCATGAGCAATAGAATTAGAGAAGAAACAGTGAAGATTGAAACGATTGGTTGTTATTTTGCAAATTGACTGTTCATTGTTTGGTTATCAGAATTTACTGAGATAGTCTGTAATATTTGCTCAAATACATTCGATTGTCCCCAACTGGTGTTCTGTTCACTACACTATGATGGATTAAACTGCCAAATTGTCCACGGAGAACAACTCACCGACTCGTTTGAAGTAAAGACCGGTGTAAGGCAAGGTTGCTTAGTCTCACTCTTTCTCTTTCTCCTGGTGATCGACTGGATCATGAAGGCGTCAACATCTGGAGGAAAGCACGGGATACAGTGGACAGGCAGGATGCAGCTTGACGATTTAGACTTCGCAGATGATCTGGCTTTTCTATCGCACATGCATAACAAATGCAGAAGAAGACGATCAGTGTAGCAGCAGTAGGTATCAACATACACAAAGCGAAAAGCAGGATTCTCCGATGCAACACAACATGCACCAGTCGAATCACACTTGATGGAGAAGCTTTGGAAGATGTGGAAACCTTTACATATCTGGGCAGCATCATTGATGAACACGGTGGATCTGATGCAGATGTGAAGTCGCAAATCGACAAAGCAAGGGCAGCATATTCACAACTGAAGAACATCTAGAACTCATAGCAATTGTCAACCAACACCAAGATCAGAATTTTCAACACAAATGTCAGTACAGTTCTACTGTTTGGGGCGGAAACTTGGAGAACTACAAAAGCCATCATCCAGAAGATGCAAGTGTTTATTAATAGTTGTCTACGCAAAATACTTCAGATCCATTGGCCAGACACTATCAGCAACAAGTTACTGTGGGAGGGAACAAACCAGATTTCAGCGGAGGAAGAAATCAAGCAGAAGCGATGGAATTGGATAGGACACACATTGATGAGAACATTCAACTGCGTGACAAGGCAAGTTCTCACTTGGAATCCTCAAGGTCAAAGAACACATTACGCCGAGAAATGGAAATAGATATGGGAAGAGTGAACAACAACTGGATAGAACTATAAAAGAAGACCCAGGACAAAATTGGTTGGAGAATTCTGGTCAGCGGTCTATGCTAAAATGGGAGTAACAGGCGAAAGTAAGTTGATTATCCTTTTCTCTATGCTAAGTAGTAAGAACTTTGAGTCGAAATACTATACAATTTCAAAACAACGAAATCAGGGCATAAGATCATGAAGAAAAATGCTAATTTTCTTTTATTGAGATAATGAATCGATCAATGTTAGACCACCATTAAAAACCTGGAAGCACTAGATATCCGTTTTATCCTAGTATGAGACTCCTCAGCAGTGCACATCCACTATCCCACACGAAGGACTTAAACACAAGGTCTTCAATCTCGCGCGAATGCTCAACCTGTAGACCACTGAGCCGGGATCAAACAATGTTAATGCCCAACTTCAACCAATCCACGATATTGCGCGTCCATCTTTGGGTATGAGGCAGTTACCTACCCATTGCTGAGGAGTCTCATACTAGGAAGAAGCGGCTGTCCAGTGGTTCCAGGTGTTCAGTAGTGGCCTAACATTGATCGGTTCATGGTACTAATACAAAATCGACAATCTCCACAACCCTGTACTAGTAAATTTTCTTCTCTGAACCTTCTTCATTACATTTACTATATACGATTACTTAACTTTCCCTTGTATTTTCTCAAAATTTTTTTCAGGGCCAAATTTTATTTCAACGTTACTTAAAAGATAAATCATCACAACTTACCACTTTATTGTTAGCTGTTAGTCGACGTCTTGGTTTTCCCCAACCTCCTGCTCCTCAATGGTCAAGTTTACCGGTTTATAAGGAGTTTCAACCACCAAAACAGTATCCAATACATAAAGAGAATAATTTTCAAGTTGATTTAGATGATTTCCTCGGTCCAATCGGACCACAACAATCTTCTCTTAGTTATCAATCAAATTATACAGGTCCTGGTGGATCAGCTCGATTGGCTAGTGTATCTTTTTACGGTGGGATTAGTGACGTGGTTAATCCATTATGGTTATTTCCTTCAACACCATGGGAGCCCCCACTTCCATCAGATGCTGCATTTGTACCATGTGTGTCTCCTTGATATTGTATCGTTCTAATAATGAGTACTTTATACCCGTTTAAAAGTAGTTTTATTATTAATTAGTAGACTACATATTTAAAGATATTAAATAACTCTGTGCGTGATTGCTTATTTATTACTAGTTGATTTATTCATTCATGTGTAAATCAGATGCGACATTGATAACGGTCCGCTGAATTTAGGAGTATAATAGGGACATAACATTCTCGGTAGGTGTAGATTGATCAACTTAATTCAGTACAATCCAATCCAATTTATAGAAACGTAGTGTGACAATTTTTACGATGGCTCAATCAATTTGATATATAATGACTGAAGTCGCACAACAAATGATTTGTTCACAGAATGAGCCTCTTAATCCCTATGGAATCGATTCTTGAATACATAATCATACTAGTCAACCGATTGAATATGTGAGTACTTCATATTAAGAAATCAAATCTATCATTGACAAGCAGAAATCTTGAATCGAAATAGTTTGAATATGAAATACACTTGTCAGTTAACAAATGATCAAACAAGACTGAAAATAAATGTCACAAAACATTCATTAATAACCAACTTGTAACTCCTTGTAACAGGACTTTTTAGTAATGGTTAGATGGTTAAAACGTTCATTACAAGTACACATCACAATTCATACACTTCAGTTTTTAATGTAAGAAATAATTACATTTTGGAATATTTTCAATTATAAACTTCAACTTTGTCTGTATAAAGTTTTCTTAAGAAAACTAACGTAATCCGGTGATAAAATTCGAGTGCATACTTCTATGAATGATATAAAATTTGTTTCGCCAAACAGGAATATTAGGACAGTTTGGTATAGATTTTTGTCGGTAAGATAATTGCTAATGTTGGTGGTATAAATGGAAATCCATCACGGTAGTGAAAAGTTGTACGTGTATGCTTTACGTCGCTTTTTCGCAATTCGTTGTGCAATAATGATGTGTGTTTTACTCTCGTTTACTTATATACTACTGTCCACATGTCGTTCTTACTCTCTTATTGACTTTTCATTTATGAATTTAACATGAAGTGTGATATATACTACTTGATTACAACTTGCATTATCTTCTTATCTGCTTTCACGTTTATTTTGTAGATGGTTCTACAAATCATGGATTAAGACCAATTAACCATACTATAAATCTTGCGGGATATGAATTCAATATGAATTTAGGTGGAATGTATCCATATGAACAGTTTACGAGTAAGTACCGAACCAATCAACAGAGTAATATATATATATATATATATATATATATATATATATATATATATATATATATATATATGTATATATATATATATATATATATAATTAGTAATATTTGTCATTCTAATTTTTTTCGTTCATCTATGTCCATTGTTTCACATCATATTTTACCTAAATGTTAAATTTCAGTACATATATGGTTGTAAGCAGCTAATGAGAAACCACGAAATATAATGAATTCATATTGTTCTGTCTCTATTGTTCTTCTAACTTCTGATTACCAGTTTTTCTATTATTTGAACATCCCGAATTGTTGCATCGACTAATTCCATGAGGTAATAAGCTTTCATTTTGGAGAACTATTAGTTGGAACTAATCTGTTAGTTGTAGAGCAGTTTTTGGTTATTACTGACTGGATAAATTACATAATACCATCCAAAACTGATCGTATTAGGATTGTACTTTGACAAACGAAATTAACAGTAATGTAACCAGCGTACGCCTACCATTTAAAATGATTTAGAGTAATATCGTCTGGAACATCTCTTTGACAATCGAGTCATTGGATGACGCTTCAACAGCGCGTATAAAGATAACTAACTTAAATATTTCATGCAGTTAGTTCCCTTTATGAATTTAAATAAAAATAGAACAAATTTTGATGCAGAATAATATGAATTCATTATATTTCGTGGTTTCTCATCAGCTGCTTACAACCAAATATGCATTAGAGTTTTAGCATTAGGGTAATAAATAGAATGGAACAACTGACATAAGGGAATGTAAAGGATTGGAATAACAAAAGTCATCGATGATAACTATATATATATATATATATATATATATATATATATATATATATATGGGCAAGGAAAGGTCAGAGGTTATTAGGTATTAGAATAAAGGGTAGCATAATAGTTGAGTGGAGTTCAGAGACAGATAAAATCAAAATGTGATTATGTTAGAGGTAGTTGAAAACAATTAGGGTGGGATTACGTGATGATTGAATAATTTATAGACGTAGTTGAAAAACAATTAGGGTGGGATTACGTAATGATTGAATAATTTATAGACGTAGTTGAAAACAATTAGGGTGGGTTACGTAATAATTGAATAAGATTTGGATAGTTCATATAATTAGGAGTGACAAATGAGCGGAAATGTGTGAGAGAAAGGGTGGTTTAAGAATTGGGTATAAAAAACAACTGAATATTAACCAAAATTGAACTAATAAAATAAAAAAATATAGTTCGTATTTGGTGTAAGCAGTTATTATTAGTGATATAAAGTCGGTTTCATAATGATTAATAGAAAGATCTTAAATAAGTAAGAACGGGGACATACCTTGTGAGTGACTTAGTTTATTTGACTCAATTCAGTCGACTCGCATAGACGTAGAAAAGGATGATCAATACAATAAAACTACCGTTCATTATACGACTCCTACAAATAAGTCATTTTTATTATCCGATCAAGGACAATAAGAGCATACTTATGGTTAACCATTGTGAACATAATCTGACCAATGAAAACCTATTGGCCCGACATACATGGGCTAGTCAATATTTGTTTTTCACTATAATACTTTGCTGTACTTGTTCATTGTTTCGTTGATTTACCTATTTTCTTTTTATTCATTTTTTTAGTTGTAGTCCTTACTTATGACCGGTTTAATTTATTATGTCAAACATTAGAGAGCTTTCTAAATCTTCCATATTTGCATTCGATTTTGGTTGTATGGAACAATCCTGTTCCACCCAATCCTGATCTTAGCTGGCCGCAATTGCATGTTCCAATTAAAGTTAGTTTCCAGTTATTTTTTCATTCGTTCTAAATTAAGTTTTATATAACATTATTGTCGAACATAATTTCCCATCATTTATAGTCAAACATTATAGTGTTAATTTCTTTAGAAAACATTAAGATTCTATGTAATCTTGGATGATATATGAAAGTTTATTGGAAATATTTTCAATCTAGTCACATTTTCTTGGTAAAAATTTTCTATCTAGTTCGATTGATTTAATAATAACTTGTTCTAAACTATAATTGGACCGAAGAATTATAATAACGAATTTTGAAAAAATTTTGTGGAGATTAGTTTAATTCATATGTTGTATTTTTTATCCGTTCATTTAAACTACAACGGTCAGCTTGCTAATGACCCACCTCAAAATGTTCCTGAAGTTTTAATGAAAAATTATGACTTGGAGTTCAGGCATGTCAGTTGTGAAGTAGATGTCATCAGTAATATTGGATTATTGTTGCCGCCAGATCACAAATTGATTGGAGTTGGAGTTAGACCACTAGACGTTAATTCAGTGGTTCTAATTCTTCTACTTTTGCCGTAAGACTTAAAGATCCTGGATCAGATCCTTTGTAGGATCATAGCTGGACGCTACTGAGGAGTCCAATTCTAGTACCAAACAGCTGTTTTATGCTTCCTGATCTCAAACAATACCCCAGCTCGAATCAGTTTGTGACTCATACAACTTATAATTAATAATGAATGCTTTAATTTCCATAATTAAATACTTAATTGTAGTTGTTTGCAATAATGGTTATTTTATTTGTCTATGAGAGTAACTTGTTTATATTGATTAAAAAATTCATTATCTTGGAAATGTTTTCATCGATAACATAAATTTTAAAAAGTATATCAACTTTGTTTTTCTCAAGAGACATAAAACAATATGAATCGAAACATAAAAGTATTTGGTAAAACTTTCAACTTATACCTTCTTATTCCTTTTCCTACTCAATTCGATGACTAACAAGTATCATGATATATATATATATATATATATATATATATATATATATATATATAAATGAATAACGACTCGCTGTCGTTTTCCATAGGGTTTATCAATTATATCAAAGTTTTCTTTCCAATGTATAGATGTTAGCAGTTGATTTCCAACAAATTTTAATACAGTTTTATTTTATCAAATTATGAATTAATATAACTTTATTTATTGCTCATGCTAATTATCATTCAGATAACATTTTTAAGCAATCTAATCAATTTGTTCAATCCCTCCAATGATTGTTTCATAGTTGTTTGAAAGTGTTTTTATTTTTTTGACGAATTACTTGTTTATATAAACAAAAGTTACAATTGAACATCAATGTACAATAATTTTTTTTATCTGAAAATGTTAGTCAAATGTTATTTTAAATTATCATTATTAATTTTAAATATATAGTTTAGATCATGAGTTAATTGAAGCTAGACCACCATGGAAAACCTGGAAGCACTGGACAGCCGTTTCGTCCTATTGTGGGATCTTTCAGCAGTACACCCCTTTTGCTAATGATCATATGCTCACTAGTGACTGGCTCCATGAGGTATTTCCTGGAGTTCTAGTGAGAAGTAGTAACGAGTGGAGTTCAACGAGGTCTGTTGAGAGATATCAACTCACTGAAGGCATTGGTGAATGGTTGCTCAATTTCGTGGATTTGTTGAAGTTAGACATTAACACCGTTGGATGTCGGCTCAGTGGTCTAGTGGTTAAGTGCTCGCGTGCGAGACCGTTAGGTCCTGGGTTCGAATTTCGCGAGGCGGGATCGTGGATGCGCACTGCTGAGAGGTCCCATAATAGGACGAAATGGCCATCCAGTACTTCCAGGTTTTCCATGGTGGTCTAGCTTCAATTGACTCATGATCTCAAGTATATAAAATTACTAAATTCTTCACAAAACTCCCTTCTGATAATTTTAAATATAATTTAATGGTTCATGTTACTGTTTAGATTGATTGAATAACAAATTTCTGTTTTTTTTTTCAAGTTTGATATCCCACATGGTACTTTGATAATTCATTTTAAAGTCTAGAGGTTATATAGAGCTCATTGTACTTGAAAAACTGTCATTTTTCACTGAACATTAAAAGTAAACAAATTATTTGTAGTAAATTATTTTTTTAATAGGTTATCCGTAGCCAAAATAACAGTTTGAATAATCGATTTTTGCCTTATGATTTAATCGAAACTGATGCAATACTATCTATTGATGATGATATTCAACTACGTCATGATGAAATTGTCTTTGGATTTCGGTAAGTAAAATACATGTAAATTTCTCAGATTTTCAAGTATTAATTCGATTCGGTTATTGAAAATTTTATAATTGAAATGGGTCATTGTTCTTGAACATTGGTTGGTTTTCAAATAAAAGAATGATTGAGTCGTTTGGGGACTTGATGTAAAGTCATCGGTCAGTAAATTCAACTTGTACTCTCCTTCTTTACTACTTGCGCCTGAACAGCTGAATAATATTTGTAACTTTCATACAATAAATTTGTTGCTAAAATCCTAGTGCACAAACCTGTACTTCGCCTTTGTGATATCTAGAATGTTTTTATTAGTCAAGCAGACAGAAAACACGATCTTTATGGAATGATTTTTTGAAGGGACTCCTAATCAATATTTTTAAACAAACCTCTCGTCGTGAGGCCTGACGTTCCTGAGTTCGACTCATGGAGAGTTCGTGGGTTTTGACTGCTAGGAAATCCTGTAGTGGTACGAAATGATGATTCAGTACTTTTTAGTATTCAATGGGTCTTTTTGCTAACCTCTGTTTGTGTTGGAAAGTTTAGTAATTTCCACAAACATCTCTTGTTGATAATGTATATTGTATCCATAAGTGGCTAATGTTGGGAGGAGTTCCAAAAGTGTAGTGACGAGACGGGATCGATGAAGTCAACTTTTTATTGTTTACTTGTTTCATATATATCATCGTTCACTACTATAAAAATATTTTTTCTATGAATGGCCCTTGAAATTTTAGTGTTTGGCGTGAACATCGTGATCAGTTGGTTGGTTTCCCAGCACGAGCTCATTTTTGGAATGGTTCTGATAGTTCATGGTTTTATAATTCTGATTATATGTGTGAATTTTCAATGATTCTCACTGGAGCTGCATTTTTTCATAAGGTATTTCATTTTTCATGGTCAATTTTTGTAATATTTCATTGATAATCATAACAACGATAATAAACCTAAATTGTGAGTATAAGCTGATTCGATAGTAGGTTTGAGTTAAGCTTCTTGAAGTTAACGCAATTCTCATGTATGAATAAAATTGAGCGTTCAAGTTTCACCCGTTGCTGCACTCGTAACTATCAAAGTTTAGCCAGTTTATGTATGATTGGCATTGGGAGTATGTGTCTCTGTTTGTATTCAGGGGATTATGATTAGGACTAGTTGGAACACAAGATAGAATTAACTATGATTCATTTGTCTTTTCATTCTAAAAGTCGATTTATGCGGAAACTTCTCTAACCTGTTGCTTCTTATTCCAAAACTTGTTAATGCACTATCGAAAATTTTGTCATACCTTCGTCTTTTAGTCAAACAATGATTAATTTTCATAGTTGTTTTAAAGACAAGTTTATAAATATGAACTGGATGTATATATATATATATATATATATATATATATATATATATATATATATATATATCGCATTGGTGGAAAATTTTGCAGACTTATGATGCTCACATTTCTGACAAAAACGAAAATCAACGTTTTTACAACTGACATAAAAGCTTCTGACTTCATCTGACAAAAGTCCCTAAGTGAGCCTGGTGGGTTCTATACAGTGGATGCTTAATTGGAAAGTGAAGGCAGTTGTGTAATTTCTTAGTTGTCACCGACTATACTAGGCCTTATCCATTAATAGAGATGTTCAGCTCTTTCATATAGTGTGCTTTGGTACCAGAAGACTGTATTTGTTTAGAATCAACTGAAATATAGATATTGTGAATGTCATATACTATATATGATAAATAAAAAGAAACGAATCGAGCTTTTTATTTATCAAATGTCAAAATGGGAATTTTCACTTTATATACTATATATGCCGTTATTTATCTCACAATCAGTATTAAGGGAGATACTTTAATGATTCACTAATTTACAAACCCCGCTTCATTCAATGCCGTCAAGAAAGAGAAAACAAAAACTAAGTATTACTGTTTTATTTCGTTTTCCTCCACCCTCGGAATTTCGACATATAATAATCAGTTTATACTGAGAGGGAAAGTTCATATAAAAACCACGAAAAATGTTAAGATGTTTCCAAAGATTAATATGGAGTGTCCTTTTCATGCATTTAGACAATCAGTGTAGCACTCATGTTAGACGCTTTAAACTGTAAGAAAGAAAGGGAAACTTAAGGACCTAAAGGTGTCAATCGAACAACTAATGGGTAGTAAATATTTTGGGTTTCTCATAACCATGTTTTTAAACTTTCTTGCAATATTAAGTACGTGCTGTTAATCATGGTTGCAACTACAGTCAAAGACAGCTCATTACTTTGTTACTTTTATTATCTTACTGACATTAAGAGAGTTATAAACACTAATATAAATAGCAGTGAGTTTTCAAGAACAAATAAGTTTTCCATTGGTGGTTTATATTGCTTTTTTTGTTAAATGATTAGGTAGTATGTTTAGTAATAATGTACAATCCATAGTTGTTTAGAGAAAATGTTAGTTTTTATAGAAACATTAGAAGACGGGGTTGATCTGAGAAACGTGAAGTATTTGCGCCATACATTTCGAAACAGTCTGGCCACACATATACTTGTTAGGGCATTTTATATGAGAATTAATAAAGGTCAATTAAGTGAAAGTTATTAATTTTCATATAAAATGTTTTGACAAGTATATGTGTGACCAGACTATTCGAAATGTATGGCGCAAATACTTCACATTTTTCAGACCAACTGCGTCTTCTATAATTGTTCTGTGGAAATTGATAAAAGGGACTTATGGCTTTAAAATACTAGTTGTTCGTTATCAAAATTACACATTCTTTATTTTTAAATGAATTAATATATTTATAACAATCTACCCAATGCTCAATTTATTCAAAATTCTTTATTTTGTCTTAGTATTATACATTTGCTTATACATGGGAAATGTCTCCGGACATTCGTAACATGGTGAACAATTATTTCAATTGTGAAGATATAGCAATGAATTTTCTTTTAGCACATATAACTAGAAAACCCCCCATCAAGGTAAGTTTACATTTAATCACACTCATTTGTCTCTCTGATCCAACTTCTGTTGAGTGGTACTATTCTTTTGTGTGGTTGATAACACTTGAAATGTAGAATACTGGTTGGCCGCTTATTAAAACATGCGTTGAGATATTTTTTATTTTCACTTATAATAAGTTATACGTAACCTAACAAGAATCGCATTTATATTGAACTAACTTAAAACATATTGAAAGCACGTTTATTAAACGAATAAATATCCCATTTTTCTCGACGCAAAGTAGAAATAGTCTTCATATGAAATGAAATAAACGAATAACTTAGGTGGAGTTTTGTTTTCTGAGCTGGATATTTTTTGTTGAAGCCTTTATTTGAATCTCTTGTGATCCCATAAAATCATAATTTCTTATTTTTATATATATATATATATATAATTAGCCTTTTTGGTGTAAGATGTCTTTGATTTTACTACACTTTTTTCATTCGAACTTGTTAGGTTACACTCCATTGGTCATTTGATTGCGTTTACTGTGGTTCTACTTTACACGACCGTTCAGATCACTATGCTGCTCGTTCCCGCTGCATTAACTGGTTAACAAGTCATTATGGATACAATCCTCTCATGTACAGTCAATACAGAGCTGACTCTGTATTATTCAAAACACGTATTCCACTCGGTAAACAAAAGTGTTATAAATACATATAATACTTCGTATTATTTATCATATTAAGTCATATGACACATTCTCGAGGATTGTTTAGATCTAGTTGCCTTGCGGATACTGCAGATTTTTCCCGTGTTTTGAGAGATCATATATTAATGCAAGTCCCCACTAAGAACCAAAGTAATGTTTGTATCGCCTAGCTTTCTCTTTTTCCTCATGTGTTAAAAATGCGTTTCTCTACCGTTGTATAAGACTTTCGCTTCTAAGTGTCAGCATAGGGTAAGAAGTAGGTACACATTACGTTTTCTAGCTGCGATACAGATAACTGTGAAGATATTTCAAATCCTGTTAACAAGTCAATCATGTTTCATGAACATTGAGATTTTGTGCAATGAAAATTAGTAAGACGGGAAGTAAAATAAAGTCATTCGGATGGGAGTACAGAGATAAGTGGTCACATAAATGATTTATGATGAGGAAACGTGGTTTATTAGACGGTATGTACCTCTTTCAGAGTTATGTATTAAAGTTACCAGATACAACGTTGAAGGTCGGTCAGTCCATCTGCTCTTCTAGTCACTCAGTTTCCACCTCGTTTGTCCTAAGATTTTGCACACCAGTCCCATTGATCTTTATGAATTCAGCCTTAGGCTGTTTTGCAAAAGCAGTGGTACAATGGATGTCTTGCGTGCCTACCGATTTCTCTCGAAGAAACATGTTAGGCAAGTCGTGCCGATATATCATTTCGGATAAGACATTTCTTTTTTACTTTGAAGAGATCAGAAAGGGCTTTGTGGAGATTTCATAGTTGAAAGTGTGAGTCAATTGAAGCTTCGATTGACTCATACTTTCAACTTTGATGAGATCCACTATTTCCCCTTGGTAGGTATTGGTTTCTCTTCACGTTGCGATAGTATGATAATCAGAAGTATTTGAATTGTAGTATAAACTAGTAATCCCAGGAATAACGCAATTTAATCAAGAAGTATCAGATGAGCCCGAACGAATGTATTGTATTTGGAATTCAAAATTACAACAGTCATCAATACAAACAAGTCATTGATTTATTTAAACATCACATCCGCCACAGCTCGAATTGGAGTGTAAGTGTCTGTAATCGATTGTTCGTCTTCTTCTTAAGTTCATCTTACATGTGTCCGATGATGTATTGGATGTACACTCTGTATTATCTAAAATGCACTCATTAGTATTAGAATTAACAACGAAAATTGGAACAGACTCACCTGGGTTCTGGAATTGTATACAATCAGCATGTCGGTTGTGTAGTGAAACCATTGATATTTAGAATTTGCATCATAGACTTTACAACAATATCCTTCCCCACGAAATAATGTTGGGTCCTTACGTCGCAATGTTTTAGCCAATATAACGTTCCCAATTTGCATTATCTTCTCAAACCTCACGCATCGACTACTGTATGTGAGTATTTGGGGATAAACACTGATATATAATTTGAGGTATTCCATCATGTGACTTTGACTTGAATGAAAATCATGATACATATTCTTTTTGTTATTCATATTAGAATACACAGATAGATATGCATTGATATATGTAATTAACACATGTGATTCAACTAGGCTTGATTTACCTGCGAAACAATCGAGTAGAAAACATTCATCTGCCTCATATTCATTAGGATAATCTTGGACTTGATTTGGATTCTCTGTCTGTGCAAACTTCACTTCTGGGCAAGCTGGTTCTCTGATTATTTCGGTGAATTTTGCAATCCCCTCTGATTCATTATACCCCTGACTAGGGATTCTATTCAACATACATTGTTCGTGAGAGTATCCAACATCTGATACAATAACATCAGAAATATGACTACAATTCGACTCATTCGGAACATATTTTTCACATTCATTAGGAATATCATTAGAGATAAATTGATTGTGAGGACCACTGACACTTGATATGATATCATAATTCGATTCTTCTGAAATATTTTCCTCAAATTGATTAGGAGTTTCATTAGAGAATAATGGATCGTCAGAGAACTCAGCATCTACCAAAACTGAATTTGGTTTTTGATCATGATTTAGCTCATTCAACATCCTATTCTCAGACTTGTAAGAAATTCCATCAGAAGTATGTGAATTACGACAAACCATATCTGGTACAATGACATGGGAAATTTGATAAGTTTGTTGACTAAAAATTTTTGTCGCACAATGATTCTGGGTTTTATTTAACTCTGAACTGTTGTGACATTATACCACTTCTAGATAAAGATAAATGATCATCAGAAACATCCATCTTAGCATTAGTTTCAGCGAAATGAACCATGGTATTACAAAGTGACTGAATATGCCCAGTTATACCACATTTAAAGCATTTAGAATTACGAAATATACATGAATTACATGGGTAAGACTTGCCACAGAACAAGCATTTACTAGTCTCGTGCTCATCTCCATGGTCTGTTTCAAAGCTCAATGAAGTATTGTCTGAATAACTTTTATTACGCATCGAACTGCGACGACTTGGTAACGTAGTGGGATTCCTGATGTTCTGTCGAGTCATTTTATCAGATTTTTCTCTCTTACCGCATTCAGAATTTGTATACTTTACATGATCCAAAAGTAGTTGCTTGAGAGTTTCATAGAGGAGTGAAACCGGTTTGTCTGGAAGTGCCAGTCTTTATAAGGCTGTATGCTTTTTTTCCGATGAATGTAAGGAAATGGGTCACAATATTAAAATCCTCATCATCTTCCTTAGTCACAGCCCAGATTTCGAACCTCTCCATGTACTCCTCAAAAGCATTAAAATCTGAATTTATATCCAACCGTTCCATCACAGGCTCAATCGCGACGCCAATATGGTGATCAAAAGTATTTGATTTGTAGTATAAACTAGTAATCCCAGGAATAACGCAATTTAATCAAGAAGTATCAGATGAGCCCGAACGAATGTATTGTATTTGGAATTCAAAATTACAACAGTCATCAATACAAACAAGTCATTGATTTATTTAAACAACACAGATAGGCTTGATACCTACGTATCACTTTGTTTAAACCTATTTTAGAAGCATCTAAGCTTCTTCTTGGAACTGTGGAAGGTGACCGGTGAGTGTTTTGCTTACTATGCTATCATTTCGAAAGTAGAAATACATATTAGCAAAATAATGACGGGAAAACCCCTAGTTCCTCTCATTCGGTTTGCAAATAAGTGTATCATCATTTTCATGAGATACTTTTAAGGATTCGATGGTTTGCGAAACGTAACACCGGGTAATTGTATACTTGGTAAGCAATAACGAATGTGAATTTGGGATAGCGCGGATCTATCATGAGCCCACATTTGTTAAAGCTCAGTACAGTAACAACCATGATTCGACTGAGTTGCTAAAGTTGAGGATAGGAAACTCATGTTTAACCTTCCACGTAAGTAGTCAGTGAGTGGTTCTGGTAGCAAATCTTCAGAAGATTTTAAACAGCGAATTTCTAAGCAGAAACATCCTGTGAAGTGTTTACGCTCAGGCAATAAATAATGTATCTCGAAATCAGTATCACAAGGTTTATTTGTCAAAACAAAGGAGGGTTTGTATGTTTAGAATTATGGTCACCATCAACCGACATCATATACACTGAAAGATCTGTAGTCCTATTTAAAATTATTTGACCTCTCGGTTTATTCATCTGGTCAAACTCGCCCCATCTTGGCAGTCAGAAACACTGTTTCGTAAGAGCCTCTGAAAAACAGGTTATATAAATAGTTCTGCTTCATAGGAGGTTTATGGTTGAGTTTCCGTGTTGTTCTACTGTTGTCAAAAAGTGACAATTCTGAAGACTGTCGATTTAGCATCCATAAAGTTGTATGAAATAATTTCAATATTGCTTAACGCTTAGATTAAGTTAGAGTCAGAGTTTCTACTGATGAAATCAGATAATCTCGTTCTAAGAACCACTAATATAATACTTATCTGAGATAGACAATTAAAAGTCGTTAGTCTAATAAGATTTGAGGAGACTTTCTAGGATAGCAAGAATAATGCGTCCTGAGGTAGGATTATTTTTCAGCATGCTAAAATCATAGAGTGGGTGTCATAGCTTATTAGAACTTAGTGTTGCAGTAGGAAACTGAACTTTTGCAGTGCAGTAATTATCATTTTATCATTGCGAAATACGCGGGACGAACCTATATCAGCCTTCTAAGGAATGTATTCTTAAAGAGTAAGACAGAAAATCCGAGAACACTTCGATGTTTGAAGTAAAAATAATTGCCGGGGCTGATTCTTTGTGACCAGGCAAAGACATTATTAGTGATATGGATTGACATCAACATATATGGCTACGTTGGTATATTCAATCTCTTGATGTGGGGTTTTGTGTTTGTTTCATTAAGTTATCTGGGTATTTAATGAAGGTATGTTTGTAAAAACATGGTCTACATAGAAAACTCACGTTGGTACGTGTGAATTTCAAACGATGTAACGAAGTATTACTAATCCCATGAGTCTAGAACTTCGACGGCGCTCGAGACAGTGGTATACATCAATCTAAAGGATAATTAATATTGTTCGTTGCTAGACAGGATTGTTCGAAGGTTCCCACTCTCTTTGGGGTAAATCTTTAGACTCTAATAATGTACTAGTTTATGCTTTTTTCCATCTACACCAAAATAAGTGCGAAGAACGGGGGCAAAATGTTTTGCATGTGCAGTCCGTAAACGAAATCATCAAGTTCACATGCAAGCAGTAATTAGCTCGACAGTTAGTAAAGAGTGAAAACGTGTCTTGTCTTGATGTAACCTTCAAAACTACTCAAGCTATCATATCAAAATTAATTAAAAGTTACTAGTCTTCCACCGGAAGTCACTCATGTCCGACAGATCACCGTAGCATCATCTGAACTATTTCATAAAAATTCGGTACATTTAGTTTGGAATACAGAACTCAGTCCGTATTCAAGTTGACAACGTTGATGAAATGATTGCATAGAAAGACGACTGTCAAAGGTGTGGATGGTAAACGGTTGATCAAACTTATGTAGAACCCATTGAAACTATGGCCTACATACCGAATCGCTACTAACCTCTGGGATAAGTTGATCATCTAATGGAATTCGCAAATACGTATCTTTCGGGTCTATGTTAAAAAAGGTACCTTGACCCTCATAATTTATGTAGAATGTCCTCAGCCTCTTCAGTGGTACAACAGTGTTGCAGTAGCTAAGAATTTAGTGTCAAGCGGTAATCATCACATATTCTAGGTGTTTTTCTATCCACGTTTATTGAGTAAGAGTACTTCAACTAGACAACTCAACTGGGATTACTATCCTTTTTCCAACCAGTTTATCTAGCTCATTCTTCACAGCCCTTCTTAAGTCATATAGAATTAGTCTACACTTCTATAAGATAGGCTCTCCCTTTACTTTGAAGCGTGCTGTCTGAGTTTTCATACATAGCATGGTCTTCTAGCATTGGAAAACCAGATCACTGGTTAAAATAATGTCACAAGAACTAGTGCACAGAAAAATGCGTGCGTCTAGCAGTCCTGGCTCTTGTAACCCTAGTCGGATGGGCCATACTCATAAACTAGAAAAAGGAATATTGACACAACTACCCTCTTTTGTCAATAGAATAACAATAATAATACCAATAATTGGTAACTGGTAGCCGGTGATCCAAGTTATTCCACTACTTGTAGGTTTTAAGTGGAAATCATTATAAAAAAGCAACAAATTTCTCTGAGAAATAGTTGTTTCTTTGCCATCATTACGAACAATAAACAAATGAGACTTGCCTGTGTTAGCAATTAATTTTCGTATTGCACATGACGCTGAAGATGCCACCAGTATTGTAGTTT